GGCCCCGCCCCCGCCCCCGGCCAGGCGTGGCCCTCTCCTCCCGCCGCGGGTTTTCCCGCGCTTGGGTGGCTTCCGAGTCGCCCTCGCCCTCCCCTCACCCCAGCTGCCCGCGCCGAGACAATGGGCCCGGGAGCCGCTCTTCCTCCCTAGCTGGGACCGCGCCCCAGCCCGAGTGCCCCAGCGCCCGGTGCGCGCCCCCCTGCCCCGCCTCCCTGCCGTGGCCCCTCCGGAAGGGGTCGGGGTCCCCGCTGGGCGGCCCGCGGGCCGGGGCCGCAGGGCGCCTGCGCGAGGCCCCAGCCAGGCGCTGGGGTCCGGAAGGGGGTTGGGGGCCCCGTCCGCCCATGCAGGAGCCCCTGCTGGGCCCTGGGCCTGGCTCCCCGGGATTGCGGAGGGGCCCCCGGGAGGCCCAGCTGGGGAACCCCCAACTCAGACAGCCAGGCTGGGAGTCCTCCCCAACTCAGACAGCCAGGCTGGGAGTCCTCCCCAACTCAGACAGCCAGGCTGGGAGTCCCTCCCAACTCAGACAGCCCAGGGAGTCCTCCCCCACCAACTCAGCCTAGCTGGGAGTCCTCCCCCAACTCAGACAGCCCAGCTGGGAGTCCTCCCCCACCAACTCAGCCTAGCTGGGAGTCCTCCTCACCCAACTCAGACAGCCTAGCTGGGAGTCCTCCCCCCACCCCCAACTCAGCTGGGAGTCCTCCCCCCACCCCCAACTCAGACAGCCCAGCTGGGAGTCCTCCCCACCAACTCAGCCTAGCTGGGAGTCCTCCTCACCCAACTCAGACAGCCCAGCTGGGAGTCCTCCCCCCACCCCCAACTCAGACAGCCCAGCTGGGAGTCCTCCCCCCACCCCCAACTCAGACAGCCTAGCTGGGAGTCCTCCACCCCAACTCAGACAGCCCAGCTGGGGGTCCTCCCCAACTCAGCCCAGTTGGGAGTCCTCCCCCAACTCAGCCCAGCTGGGAGTCCTCCCCCAACTCAGCCCAGCTGGGAGTCCTCCCCCCCAACTCAGACAGCCCAGCTGGGAGTCCTCCCCAACTCAGCCCGAGGAGTCCTCCCCCCAACTCAGCCCAGCTGGGAGTCCTCCTCCCCCAACTCAAACAGCCCAGCTGAGAGTCCTCCTCCCCCAACTCAGACAGCCCAGCTGGGAGACCTCCCCAACTCAGACAGCCCAGCGAGCTGTCCCAAGGCGGGCTTAGTTCACAACTGGCCTCCGCTGACAGGTGGACCCCTCCCAGGTAAGGCCCTCTTCCTTCCCAGCTAAGGCCCTCTCCCCTCCCAGGTAAGGCCCTTTCCTCTCCCCTCACCCCTGGTGAGCTGAGACCCTCCTGTGGGCCAGTTACTCACCTTAGCTGCTGGGATAGAGGCCCTGGATCACTTGGAGCTGGTGGCAGCTTGGGCTACAAATGCCAGTGTCCCCTTGGTTCCTCCTCCTACCTCCCCAGTTCAGTGTTTTTATTCTTGATTGGGATCAGTAGCAAATGCATGTCCTGTGTGGGCGTGGAGGGGATTGAGGGGACTGGGTGACAGCGATCTGTATAGAGGGCTCTGGACTGGGGAGCATGCAAAGGAAGGGGTGACCATGTCTCTTCAGGCACCAGCTGCTGAGCCGGAAAATGTGCAAATACAGTTGACAGGGAAGAAAGTAAAAATGCCCATCATCTGTGGATAAAAATTCCTATGCATACACAGCGAATATACATGTGTGTGCATGTGTGTGTGTTCTTTGTTCCCTATCTTCCTTTCACAAGATGTGTGATTTTGTGTGTACCAAAGCGTGTGAGAAGACGGACACCTGTGGAAGGAAGGACAAGGGCTGTGCCCACCATCTTGGAAGTTCTAGGAAAGGAAAGGAGAGGAAAAACCCTTGCTGTCACCCGCTGTCCAGAGTCGGTGTGGGACCTGGACATAGAAGGTTGGTGCTGGGGAAGGCCATATGGGTTGCCTGTCCACTTTACCAGACAGGGAAACCAAGGCCCCAAGCTGTGGCTTTGCCAAGGGGTGGCCAAGATGGAGACATCCTTCCCAGGACCAGCGGGACCTGATGCTCCCACTGGTCACACTGTTGTGATATTCGCCTATCACATCCTCCTCCTTCCCATACGCTTTAAATCGTGTCTGTGTGACTTCAGATAGGTACTCATCCCAATGTAAATGCTGTATACATTGTTGTTATTCTGCATTGTTTTGGGAACAAGGATAAAAGAAGAACAATCTGTACAGATTGAGTACAGACAAGAATTAAAAACAAATACTTTTAGTCAGCAATTTCTGTGGGACTCAGTCACTGAGGGCTGACTAGGCTTATGCCAAGAGCTAAAGGTGTCGCTGGTCTTCCTCCCTCCAAACTCCGTCAACACATTGTTTTAACTTCATGGGGAATAAAGTTGAGGGCTGAAGTCCATTGCGATGGACAGAAATTTGACTCAAGAGTTGGACAAAAAGATATATATATATATATAATCATTGTTATAGGGGAAAAACAATTAGGATGAGCATGCTTTTCAAGTATGTCTGGATCTGGGAACTCCAAAGTGAACTTCAGATCAGGTCTTCTCCATCTGTTCTAAGTGTTTCAGTGTTGATTCTTCGAATTTCTGGCACCTTAGACTCACATCTTTTACTTTGACAATCCTAGAAGTAGAACCATCCACCTCTATTCCTATAACTTCAACAAAAGCCTGGACCACAGATCCTTTTGGCAGGGCAAAGAAATCATGGGCACCGTCAAAGAGCATGGTGGAGCGCAGTGAATGATGTGAGCCAGGTGCAAAGTTGGTGATTCCCAAAGGAGAACCAGGGAGCTGTGGCCAGAAGGGCGGATGATAGTGAGTAAGCAAAAATCACAGAATTCAGTGTCATTCACAGTGACGTCACCCCGCTGACTGGGAACTCTGGGAAGGCAGGAGTTGATGTTTTTGCAGGAAATTTCTTGGCCCTCTACTAAGCCTGTCCCATAAATAACCACCCTCTCATGAGCGTGCCTCTTCTTGCTACCTCTTCTTTGCCACAGTCAGAGCTGAAGCTGGGCATCTGTCCAGCGAGGACCTCTGATGAGCAGCTTGGTACCCAGGCATTTGGAAGGGGACAAGTCAGGGGGGGTGGCTGCCTCATTTACTGCCCTCCCCCAGCATCAAAGTGCGGGGCACCTCCGTGCTTCACTCTCCAATCAGGGCTGTGTTTTATTCTTCTGTGTGTGTGTGTGTGTGTGTGTGTGTGTGTGTGCATGCTCATGCATGCGTGTGTGTGGTATTTCAGGCGTATCTCCCATGAATTGCCTTGGTACCATGCTGCCTGCTGTTCACCACCTCTATCTCAGCTGCAATCCTTGCATTGTTCATCCCCATGGTGGGGGTCGGCAGGGAAGGGTTGTCTGTTGTCCAGTAGAAAAATAAAGAAGTAGAGGGGCTGGGAAGGTGGCTCAGTGGTAGAGCGCTTGCCTTGCATGCCTAAGGCCTTGGGTTCGATTCCTCAGCAACACATAAGCAAAAAGAAAAAAGCCAGAAGTGGTGCTGTGACTCAAGTGGTAGAGTGCTAGCCTTGAGCTGAAGAGCTGAGGGACAGGCGCCCAGGCCCAGAGTTCAGGCCCTATGACTGGACCCCCCTCCAAAAAAAAAGTAGATTAATAGATGCCAATAGAGCCTTCTAGAAAAGCACCATTAAACAGCAACTCACCGTAATTGAACAGCAGCCGCTCTACCTCCTAATTTCACTCCCCGGGTGATAAGTTGATTTTACAGTTGATAATTTAACTTCTAACACATAAAAATGTCATTTGTTTGAGTCAACTAGGAATTTCCTTAAATATGGATTGCAGTTGAAAAACACTGGAATTATAGAGAGGAAACTAACGTTTACCAGTTATTCATGTCAAACAAGCCAAGCCCACTGTGAGCCTCTTTCTTCTTCAAGGTATCCTAAGGCCAAAAGCCTGGGCCCTGTTGACAGACAGGTGGGTGGGGTCAGTCTTTCCTGTGGGTGTCGGGGTGCATCAACCGTTCCTCACCATTTTGCAGGCCCTCTGTCTCTGAAATGCACCTAATACATGTGCTGGTTGTATAAAGCAAATGAAATCATGTAAGTGTTCAACACAGTCTCAGGCACACAGTAAGTGCCTAGTGTTAGCTTGGTGTGTGGGTGTGTGTGTACCAGTACTGGGGCTTGAATTCAGGGCCCAGCACTGTCTTTTAGCATGTTAAATCAAGACTGGCACTCTACCACTTGAACCACAGCTCCACTTCCAGCTTTTCGCTGGTTAATTGGAGATAAGAGGCTCACAACCTTTCTTGCCCAGGATGGCTTCCAACCGAGATCCTCTGATCTCACCTGAGTAACTAGGATTACAG